AAAAAAAGTAAAATAAAGAATTTTTCTCAAACATGAAAAAAAAAAAGGTAAAGATGCAAGACTAAAAATCAGAAGCAACCAAAGCAACACCAGAATGATGCAGATTTTCATTAAGTTCTTCCCCACATACTCTGAGAATCAGTGATCAGCACCTCACTAAGCATTTTCTGTCCAAAACCAACTAGAGTTCAGATAACTGGGATAGGCTAACCAACCCCACTTGGAAGCATTTCTGTCCACCAGGCATGGTAGAAACTACCCTGCACCACAAGCTTTCACATCTAGCAACTATCTTCCCAGAACACATTTGTCAAACAGGAGAAGTAAAAGGTACCAACAAAATCAGTAATAGTAAAAATTCTTAGTCTGGAACTAATGATACAACATGGATAAATCTCAAAATAATTATACAGAGTAAAAGAAACCAGACCAAAAATGACTCTATTTATATAAAATTCTAGAACATGCAAACTCATTAACAGTCACAGAAAGCAGATCAGTGGTTACCTGGGTAGAGGACAGCAGGTGGTAGAGATGGAAAGGATTTTAAAAGGGCATCAAAAAAACCCTTTGAGGGCCAGGGATTTAGCTCAGTGGTACCGAACCTGCCTCAAAAGTGCAAGGTCCTGAGTTCTATCCCTATCAAAAAAACCCAAAAAACAAAAAAACAAAACCCTTTGAAAGTAACAGTTTTATGGATGTTCATACATATCAAAAAACCCCAGATTATACACTTTAAAGTTTTACTGTATACCAATTACATATACATCAATGATGCAAAGAGGCTGTCATAATCACTTTTTATAGCCACAAAAGCGTTATCTTCTTTAAAGCAGCTAATACACCATTTAACGATGCTGTCCTGGTTACCCTCAGAGCCCACACCCTGGTACAATGATTTACTAAGTGTAATAATTACAGCCACCACTGATAGTACCTACAACTGCTAGGCACTGTGTTGGGCACACTATAGAGAGAAGATTCTTGGAAAAGTGTACTTGGAGCTAAATTTAAGGCTTAAACTGGAAATCAAAACTAAATCAAAGTTATATCTAAAATCTAGTGAATGCCATCTCCTACAGTAACCTCACATTTCATGCTCCCTTTGGTAGCACATACAATAACCTTACATTTACTTAGCAATCAAAGGTAATATATGCTGGAAGAAGATAATGTCTGATTTATCCAGATTTTCTTTTTCTTTTTTTTTTTTGAGACAGGGTCTCACTATATAATTCAGGCTTGCCTTAAACTCATATGTAGTCCAAACTGGGCATGAACTTGTGGCAATGCTCCTGCCTCACCCTCCCAAGTGCTACTAGGGAGTGATGCTACTATCACTACCCAGGGGTGATGCATGTACTATCACGCCCAGCTTAATGATCCATTCAGATTTTAAGAAGTGAGGTTTTGTGAACTGTTCAAAGTCATATAGCTCAAGGAAGAAATTAATTCTTGATCAAAGAGGTCTTCTGACTCTAATGTTCTAGCCATTAGGTTACTTCTCTCTCACGTTTTTTATTTTGTTGTGTTTTTTTTTGGTTTTGGTACAGGGAATCGAACTCAGGATCTTTTGCTTGCCAGGCAGGACTGGCACCACTGAGCTAAATCCCCAGCCCTCCCTCTCATGTGGTTTACAACCTAACTTTAAAAGAAATGAAAAACAGAAGCTGGGAGTAGTGGTAAACACCTGAAATCTTGGCATTCCCAGTTCTTGGCGGATGAGATAGGAGGATTCTAAATTCAAAGCCAGCCTGAGATACAAGCAAGAGTGTGTCTCAAAAAGAAATGGAAAATGAAATGAAATTCAGCTGTTTTAGCTACTTTCTTGTTGCTAGGACAAAATACCTGACACCCACAAGTTAAAGGAGAAAAGGTTTACTTCAGCTCACAGTCTGCAGAGGTTTCAGTCCATGGTTGGCTGGCTTCAAGGAAGGGTAGTGTGGCAGGCAGGAAGCAGCAGCATTCCTTACCTTTATGTTCCATCCAGCTGCAAGCCTATCAGTTGGTGTCTCCCCCACCACTGATGGTGGTTCCCTCTTCAGCAATCCTAAACCCATCAATGGACTAATCCAGTTATAGTGCCTATAATCCTGTATCACAACCATGATTCAGTCACCTCCTAGAAGCCCTGCCTACGAGCATGTGAAGTTTTGGGGGGACATCTAGATACAAGCTTTAATAGCAGCAAATTAAATTTTTACTATTTTCTTGAAGTACTGGGGAAACCAGGGCCTCTACACTGAGCTACATCTCCCATCCTTTCTATTTTTGAAATAAGGTCTCAATAAATCACCCTGTCTCAAAAAATAAAAACAGCAGGGGAATTTAGCTCAGTGGCCCCACGCCTGCCTCACAAGTGCAAAGTCCTGAGTTCCATCCCCTGTAAGGGGGAACCCCGCAGGACCCACAGGCAGATGATGACACTATGTAGTTCAGGCTGGCCTTTAACTCACAGCCACCTTCCTGCCTCAGCCTCCTCAGTGGTGGGATTACAGGCATACACCACCACACCAGGCTCAAGAATTGGTCACTGTTAAAAAAAAAAAAAAAAAAAGAATTGGTCACTTAAGTGAAACTATATACCAGGGGTAACAACACAGAAAAACCAAACTTTTTACAAGTTTACTATCCTCTAGAAATAAACTCAATGTATGAAATGCTCACTCAGAAACAAATAAGCAAACTTATTCAAACACATATTTAGTCATACACATAATGACATTTCTGTCAACAATGACACACATTAAATGGCAGTGGATTCACAAGATTATGCTTATTTTTTAATTTTTTCCCCAGTACCAGGAATCAAACTCAGGACCTTGCACTTGTCAGACAGGCCTGGCACCACTGAGGTAAATCCCTGGCCCTATTTATTTTTTTGAGACAAAGTCTCATTATGTAATTTAGACTCAAACTCAGGGCAATCCTTCTGCCTCAGCTTTGTGAATGCTGGGATTACAAGCATGCACCACCACACATTGCAGGTCAGTAGTTTTCAAATTTTCTTTGTCCTAATTAATGGGTTAAGGTCCATTCCATCCTGTCCATATATACACTATATTCCTTCATCCCTGCTCCAAAAACCATATTAGAAGCCTACAATCCTGGCTTTCTATACTTAGACTTCTAACACCAGTAATCCTAAAACCCAAGCCACCACATAAACCCTACAAAGGGGCAAAGAAGGGTGAAGGATCACTGCTACCCCAGTTCAGGAACAATTCACCAAATGCTGGAGTCCCAGGGGTGATGGCAGCACTATTTCCTGGGTGAACTCACTGAGCTGGGCACAAACACCTCAAAGCTGAAGGTAGCTTAATTAAGAACATAACAAGAAAAAAACAAGGAGAAAGGAAGGGACAAGAAAAGTGAAAACAGAAGGAAAAAATGGGTAAAAAATGACTATTTGAATAAATGTAGATTTTTGTACATGAAAAAGAAGTCAGATCACGTCTAATTCAAAAAACAAAAATAGGGGGCTGAGGGTTTAGCTCAGTGGTTTCGCTGCCTGCTGCGCAAGCGCAAGGACCTGAGTTCGATCCCTGGTACCAAAACAAAAACAAAAACATTGCCTGCATGATTGCTCTCTCCATGATGTGTAATGAGCCAGATTACTTTTTGTTTACTGTTGTTTTTTTGAGATAGGGTCTCCCTATGTAACCCAGCCTGGCCTCAAACTCAAGTTGATCTTCCTGCCCTGGCCTCCTGAGTGTTAGCAAGAAGACTGTTGTGAGTTTGAGGCCAGCCTGAACTACATAGCGAGACCCAGTCTCAAAAAAATAAAAGTAACTTATTGGTACCTTCTCTCCCAAAACCCATGTCTCAGGGGCCGGGGATTCAGCTCAGTGGGTCCACTGCCTGCCTTGAAAGCACAAGGTCCAGAATTAGATCCTCGGTACCAAAACAAAACAAAAAAAACACCCGTGTTTCAGTACAGTACTCAATCCTCACACGTGGCCTCACCATATACCTACAGAATCTATGGATGATAAAGTTAAAAGCCAATTAAGGATAACACAATGAATGTCAGTTTTCAAGGTACTTGAAGTTGAGAAGGGAAAAAACTTTTATTAAAGGCAGAGTCTCACTAAGTCACTAAATTGCCCAGACTGGACTCGATCTTGCAATCCTGCCTCAGCCTCCCAGAGTGCTGCGATTACAAGCGGGTCACCATGCCCAGCATAAGAAATCTCAATTCCCTTATCTGTCTGAGTGGTGGCACTGGTAGCTGAAAACACGTATGTTTCCTCTCGGGCTGCAAAGGGTCGAAGCTCCCTCTCCAACAGGAATGACTTTAGGGATCACGCTGCGGGAACTTGAAAAGAGATCAAAGTCACTGGCATCCTTGAAGCTGCATGGTTATCAGCATAGGGTATAACCGGTATAGGAGGATGACGATCTCTAAAGTCCTTTCAGTGGGCTACATTTAGGTAATGAACAGTTCCAGAACACAATAAGCCAAAAGACGTGTTTTGTTTTTAATTTTAAAAGTATGCCTGATTCTATTAATGACACAATTTTTTTTGCCCGTGACGTCAGGGGGAGGTGCCGCGCAGCAACGTCATACATGGGTGACGTAAGGGGGACAAGGTCTAGGGGTTTCTCACCAGTTCCGGGTCCCCGCAGCGGGGGGTCCCGGTTTTCTCCGTTCCTTTAGGAGTGTGTGGGGGGGACGCGAAGTGCAGCTATTTCCCACAGTCTCAGCTGGAAAAGCAGCACTGCAGCCGGAGTTGCTCCTCTTCCCGCAAAATGGCGGAACCTCCGCTATCTTCCAGCGCCTTTCGCAATCTGCGCGTGCGCGGCAGCGCTAGACGCTGGATCTAACCTCCTGGTTTTGGCTCAATAGTCCAAAATACGAGTTTTCATTGGCTTATATCCTAGTTGTGGGTGGAGCTACACACATGTGTTTCTTAGCAACCATCAACTATCCATTGATTGGCTAATGCCTCATAGACTCAAGGAAGGCGAAAGCGTCATTTGGTAGACCCCCCCCCATCGCTCTCTCATTGGTTAAGTGATTGCGGAAGGCGGGAGAAATTGGGTCGAATCAGATTGAAGGATCCACCTGTCCCACTCCAGACTCAACGCTTTGGGCGGAGCCAACGAGGAAGGATGAAGGACGTGTTTGGCAGTTCCTAGTCTGATTTGCCAAGTACATGTTCTTTCCAGAGACAGCTTTGTAAAGAGCAGTTGCGCTTTTTCACTTGGGGGATGCGGGACTCCACACCCCCATTCTGAGCAGTTTTGTACCCAAACCTCCGACCATCGCCTGCTGAACTCAGTACTTGGGACCTGAAAGTCTTGTCACGGACTAATCTGCCACAGAGCCTGGTCCCACAGGTGACATACCTTCAGCTCAAATCAGTTCCCCATATGCCTCCCACTGCAAGGGTAAATTGAGTTTCTCAGGTAATCTTTTGTCCTCTAACCAGAAAGAACTGATATCCACCTTCACTTTCTAAGTGCTTCCAAGACCCCCTCCTAGAGACTTCATCTGCCAAATACAGCTGCCAAAAGCTTCCCGCCGGCTAGTTGGAGGACCGGTGCTCCAGTTGTCGAGTTATGTACTGATACATCATTGTGCTGATTCCCTTCTGTAAAATGGAAATTGGACTAATGATCTCTTAGTATTTAAGACTTTAACACTGTGTGGTGTTTTGTTTGTTTTTTGGTACCGGGGATCGAACTCTGAACCTTGTGCTTTCCAGGCAGGCAGTGGCACCACTGAGCTAAATCCCCAGCCCTGTGTGGTGGTTTGTTTTTTTTTCCTGAGTCTCACTATGTAGCCCAGGCTGGCCTCAAACTTGTGATTCTCCTACTTCAGCCTCCCAAGGGCTGGGATTATGAATGTGTGCCACTATGTCCACCATTGTGATTTTATTAAAACAAAATAGGTAGCTTCTTTCTGGAAGTTTCTCTTCCAAGAGGTAACAAAAGGACTTGGCAGCACAGTGGTTCATGAAGGCAGAAGAGAAGCTGGCATCACGATCACGTTTTTTCTGGTACCTCCTCCCCAGAGCCTAACCATGGGTCCTACCAGACAAGAGCTCACTGATGCTGGTCAGAAAGGCCTATCTGCAGGAGTCCAAGAGTTACCACCCATCTTGTGTGTGTGTGGTTCTGGGGATGGAACCCAGGGCCTCAGGCCTGCTAGGCAAGTACTCTAACACTGAGCTACACTTCCAGTTCTCACTCAGTTTTTATCATTGTTTGGTGGTACTAGGGACGGGACCCAGCAGTCACACTGAGCTACATCTCTAGCCCATTATATTTTTAAAATATAATTCTGAGACAGGATCATGCTAAGTCACTAAATTGCCCAGGCTGGGATCCAACTTTTCTCTCAACTCAAGTCTCCCAGAGTGCTGGGATTACAAATATGAGCTACCACAATCAGCCCCTCACTCAGCTTTTTAAACTAGGTTCTTTGGATCTTAGCTAAGGACATGGATCTGAATGAATATTCCTGGATCTAAGTGAGTGTGGAAAAAGAGGCAAGGGGCAGCAGAGAAGAGCAGGAAAGAGCTGTAACTTCACTTTATTTGTACTTCCTCTTATGCAAAACCGTCAAAACAAGGACAGAGGAGGGCAGGGAAAGAGCTGAAGATGCATTCAATCACATGTTCACAGGGCTATTCCACAAAGTCCTTAAGGCTGAGCACCTGTGGATGCAGCTTCAGATCCAACACTACTAATTTCTCACACCCTGGCCCATGACCTTTGTAGAGTGCTAGCTTGAGCCCTGTAATTAATTCTTATCCTTTGTCCATCTTGATGTAAGGTAGGAAAGCAGACTGGACTGCTCCTCTCTGATGGGCGAGAGGCTTCACAGATGTCCAGCACCCTTAGGTGTACTGCACCTTTTGTGCTATCAAGGCTGCTTCCAAGGCTCTAGACCCTTGCACACAGGCCTAGAGGCCAATGGTGTATGAGCGGCCTGTGGGGTTGTGAATAGCAGAGCAGACCGGTGCTGTCACAGCCCATTCATACCACACCTTCTTGGAACTGCTGCATCGCCAGAAACGCACACAGATGGTCTGGCCTTCACGTACCGTAATGGGCTGCTGTAAGAAGGAAGAGAGGGAGGTTCAGGATGGAACTAATGAGTTAGTGGAGCAATACGTAAGAGGAGGTGTAGATGAAATACATGAAAAAGTACTCCCACCTTCAAACACGTGTATCAAATCTATCAATAGGGGACAATCAGACACTGACCAAATAATCAAACGTGTGCTGAGTACTGTGAACATGTATAGGGTGCCATGAAAACACCTATGAAAGGGAATGCTAACTTTGGCTAGGAGGTCAAGGAAAGTTTATCTGACAGCAGGAATGTTCGAGGAGACCTGGAAGATGAGTTAACTGGGTGGAGAGATGAGCAAAGAAATTTACAGGTAAAGCAGAGAGGTGGGAAACCTGAGGCAGGAAAGACCTCAGAGTAAAACAGGAACCAAAAGAAGGCTCAAAGGGTTGAGGCAGTGGAAGCCACAGAACAGCAGCTAAAAAGGCAGGTAAAACTATAGCAAATTCTTATTAGCAAAGATGGCGTGGGTTTTGGCCTTTATCCCAAAGAGCACTGGGAAGGCACTGCAGAGTTTTAAACAGAAGACAGAGAAGATCAGAGTTGTTAAAAGATGGATCCTGCTTAAAGTAGAGAATGGATAGAAAGGTTGAGGCAACTGTAGATACCACCAAGATCCAAGAGCATGTCAGAGTGAGCCGAACATGGGTCATATCCAAGTATCATCGTCACTGGGGAAGGAAGGGGCAGGGTACCGATAGCAAAACTTTCTCTTTAACCCACAGAGTCTTAAGGTAATTCCTACCTTAATGGGGAAGAGGATGGGAAACCATGAGAACATCCCAGGAGAGTGAGTCTCTGGATGGATACCTGTGTGGACAAAACCAAAAAAAATAAAGGTCCCCACTGACTCTGGGACTCCCCCTGAACCTAAATGAGACATGTACACAAGCTGCCCAGGCAGCACACCCGCGGACCCTGCCATTCCTTACTCCGACACTCACTCAGAGTGATGTCCTGATACAGCACAGTCTCAAAGTAGCCTGCAAAGCCATGCAGCACTGTGTTCACCTCCACGGGAAACTCCAAGGTGCAGTAGCGGTTGTTGTCAATCATAGGATCTGTCAAGAAGGAATTGGATGGCGGATGAGGGGCCAGAAGCCTAGACAACTTGGTAGAAAATGAACATGGCCCAGGAATGGAAGCCTAGCTAGGGCAGACTTAGGACAGCAGTGGGAGAAAGAGTGGGTGAGCTCAGACTTCTCCAGTCAAGAGGACAGCCATGCAGGAACCTACCTCTGTTAGGATGGCTGAAGGTGAAACAGGGTTGGGGTGCAGAGAGCTGGTGGAAGTTGTGCAGCCGTACCACATAAGGCATCTCAAACTGGGCCTGTCCCGAGTGAGAGAGGGAGAGAGCAAGAGCTGGAGAAAACAGACAGGAAACCAACTTCCCCACGGAAAGACGCTCAAGCCCCAAGAGCACAGAAAAAGATGAAAATATTGTTTCACTTCAACCACTTTCCCTCCATCCAAACTGCTTCACTTCTTTTTCAGTGGAAGAAAACTATAGAGCTAAAGGCGAAGCACTTCTTCCTGGCAGAGAGAAGCTCTCTCTTTACCTCTGGGTCACGGTCCTTTTCCCGACAGGCTCGGACCTCATTGTACAGCTTGGAGGAGGAGATGGGAGCCAGGAAGGAGGTGTACTCCCCAGGGATGCTCACACCGTCATCTGCAGGGCAGGGGGCCAGATTAGTTCCCGAGGGAGGAAAATGGTGCCTCTGCACTAACCAAAAGCTCAAGCCTCCCACATCAAAACTGACCAACACTGGCAAAGGCAGGGCAGGGAGAGACAGCTTGATGTTGTCACATTCCTAGGCTAGTCTGCTCCCAATTCCTCTCTTGGGGGATTTCACTTTAGGTTAATTTGCAGAGTCACAGAAGATTAAAACTGAAGGAACCTAAGATATTCAGCTGTGTTTATCTTAATGATGGGACAAGTCCTGAGGCAGGCGTTTGTCACTGTTTGAGTATGACAGTGTACTTAACACAGAGATGGCTACAATGTCACTACATGATACAGTCGTTAAGACCACCTCACCTATGCAGTCCTGTTGATGGAAATGTCATTAGGTATTCTAATCTGGTGGCTCTGAACTTTTGTGTGGAGTCACAAAGCTCCACAAAAGTTCCTGATGAAAGCTAAGCCCAAGGTACATCTGCCAGCTGAGGGAGTCCATAGTCCTCAGGTAAAGAATCTGCTCTACTCCACTCCCCTCATGGGCAGTGAATGGTAGCTCGTAAAGTCTATTGATTTGACCCAAGTCCAACCATCACCCCTAGACCCTGTAACCTTCTCCCAGCCTGCTGCCTACTTTATACACCCCACCCTGAAGACACCTTTCAGGAAGTGCTGTGCTCCATCCAGACACTCAGGTGACAGCTCATTGTCAGCAAAGGAGCCCAGAAGCTCACTGACAATGATGTCTGCTTTCTCTGGAGCCGCCCATTCCCTCATGTCTGATGAGACTACTGTCACCTGGCTTCCCCATTCTTCAAACTGCCAGTTTTCCAGCCTAAAATGAGATTATACAAGTGAGGAGCAATGTTAAAGAAAATGGGCAACAGGGACAAACTTCCTAGCAGGCAGGTTCCTACTTACGTCACCACAGCATTTGGGTTCTTCTCCACAGCATATAGCTTTATCCGCCGATCAGCCTGCTTGGCAGCCCGCAGGGAAGCATTCACAAGGGGACCCCGGCCTGCTCCCAGCACCATCAGTACCCTAAGAAAGGGGAAGAG